CCAGATCCAGACGTCCAAGATAAGGCAATGGAAAAATTTTCTAGAATATCAGTGTAAATAGGCTGGAGTCTCTGAAATTTATAACTTCCTGCAGGAGCTCTTAAGCAACTTGAAACGAAGTGAAACATAATAGAAACCTTATATCAAACCTTATATCAAACAGATGATTTTGTAGTCCTAGAAGTAGGAACGAAAAAAAATTAGTTTATTTATTATTAGTTTAGATGCTCCTTACAGGTTAAATTCAGTGTTTTTGCTACCTCTGCACTACCAGACAGAAAAGAAATGGGGCAGGGGCTTGTGCCTTGCTGGAGGGATGGAATCCACCTACAGGTGCTGACCTGCCTCAGCCTTCTCTGCCTTCACATCCTGTTGGCAGTCGTTTGATTTTAAGACTCATTGCTTTCAGAAACTTCTAGGAACTTATATATTTTAATGTACTGTGAGTAATAAAATCTTCAGTCAGGAAAGGCCAGGAGCAGTAAGCCAGAAAAAACAAGCTGCCAGGACTGCTGGGATTGAGACTGAAACACCACAGGCTTTCCTAGGGAACTTCCTCCAAAGACATCTAGAGGAAGGACTAGGTGTTCCCATAAAAAAATGTAATTTTCTGGGGCCGATCAATCATTAGATATAACTTGCTTCTTGCAAAACTCACAGCTGGATAGAGGGACTGATTTGTCAGCTTTACTTCCCCTTGAACATTACCATTTTGGGATTTTGTGAACAGTTTTCCTGCATTTTGCCTTTGAGGATGATATCTCATCGCAGTGTTTGGCTATGCTAAGTCCATGTCCTTCTCATGGTGTTTCTATAGCTACAGCTAAAGCTTGAAATACAGAAGTATCTGTGATGAGGCTCCCACAGTGTGAACAGGCAGATTTTTAGAGCTGCTGCATACCCAGTAGCTCCTGCTGAAGTCAGTGACCCCTTAGGTAGGTGCACACATGGGAAATGAGGCAGCCAGTGCAAGAAATGTCTTGATCCATCGCTTTTTTCTCATTGTTTTTAATGCTGGTGGGAGAAATGCTCAGTTCTGCAGTGATAACTCTGGGTTTTGTGTCCTGTGACATGAACGAAACCTCACACTCTCTGCAGCCAGACTTCCCAGGCACTAAGTGCTTTTTGGGATCAGGATTCCCAGCAGTACTTCTAGTCTTTCTTGCACATTAATATGATTTCTTACTATGACTTGGTTCTCTGGAGCGCTCAGCTGGCAGAGTATTTCCTATGAAACATGATTCTGATGTTCTTCAGGTTTGGATGAGCTGTGATAATTCACCTCCCATGGAAGCATGGTTCCTCTGGCTATCCTTATTCTCAGCAAACATGTTCCAAGATGCTGGGTGATAAAACATCTGTTTTCAACACTTCTTTTGTTGCACCCTGCTGTGAAATCAATTCAGTTTTGGAGCATTACTCACGTCTGAGCTCCTTTGCTTACATTCTGATGGTAGTGTGCCTGCTACAAGGGGATTTCTGCCTCTGAAATGGGTGGGATCTTCGGCATTTGTTTTCAAGAAAAATCAGCAGCTGAATGGAGGTAAATGATGCATTTGCAGCACACTTTATTTCTTACCCTAGGTTTGAGGGGTTCTTCAGCTCAGCCAGAATTTTCCAAGAATGGAAATGGACAGATTTCCAGGCAGTATAAACTGACATAACTCATTCAGGAGATTTACACCCTCTCAGCAGCTCACTCTTTGTTTCTTCACTAAGTGCTTTCTTCTTTTCAGTACACATTCTTTTCTTTCTCAAATCACTTTCTTATTATTGATGAATTTTTCTTAACACTGCTTTTACAGATGTCAATCACATAATCATTCAAACACTGACATTTCTTGCACTTAAGTACATACCACCATATTTTGTACTAACAGAAACATTGCACTGGAGTTTAAAACACAAGGAAAATCAAGAAATTGAAGGCAGAAGACAATAATGTGACAATCTTGGCTGGTTGGTTTAGGTAGTTCTAGATAAGTTTTCTCCTTTTTAGTGCTGTGAATCAGAGCGTTGCTGCTTTTGGAAAGGTCTTTACCTTTGCCCATCAGGGACTGAGAGAGAATATCTAGGAGAGGACCCTGGTACACTTGTGCTATTTCTATATTTATCCATAGGCTTCTGCTGCACACCACCATTGCAGTCCTAATACCAGCTCTGTCCTCCAGCCTTGCCTTTTTATACTCAATTTAGTCTTATTTCCCACTGATGCTCTCCACAGCTGGACCCTGATGAGTACAAGAAATATTTCTGATATATAGTTGCTTAAAAAACCCCTGATTATTTCCATAAAAAAAGTTCCAATTAGTCTTGTTACATCTCAGCTGTGAAATTCTGGTTGAAGGAAGAGGGAGTTACTAAATATTGACTATCTGCTGTCCTCAGGACCATTTTGTCCTCAAGCCTACTGTCACAATCTTCTCTGCATTCAGTTTTACCTTTAGAAAAGATGTTTCTGGGGATCTCTGACAGGTGTTCTTTGCATCATGATGACTTAACCTTGAGATCTGGCCTGCTTGAGACGTGGCCTCCCATTTTAATTGGTTCTGTTTGTTAATTTCTGTTTTTAACTTCCTAGGCAGGCTGCTGTTGGAATTTAGGTGCGCCTTCTGTTTGTTCTTGAACTACTTCTTGCGCCTTTGGGAAATGACCTAGGGAGGGCTTTAATTATCTCAGTTAATTTCAACAGGCATCTTCTTGTTTTGCTTCCATTCCCCCTCCAGACTGGATACAATTCTAACACTTCTCTGCCTGCATAAAGCACAGATTAAGAACTGCAGATGTGCAGATGTTATCCTTTGCTGCAGATGCTTTCTGCAGGTTGTGTGTATGCTATGAAGTAACTCCTGAACACTTTTACTTCTTTTTCAGCACAGTAGGAAAAACAGCTTTTTTAGCTCTCCTCCTGTGTGGAGCTGTAAACTGGGGATGCAGTTTGGAAAATGGTCTGATTAAAAAGCACTTCTTCGTAGTGTTTTTCTCAGTAATCTGCATTTTTAAAAAACGGATTATTGTATTAATTGTAATATGACAGTATTCCAAATGCCTTCCCAAATGGCAAGCTTGGCTTTAAACAACACTGTGAAGTCATCTTGTTGCTTTCTCTTAGCACTAAAAGCTGTGTCTGGATTTCTAGTGGTTTATATGTATTTTCTACCATTGGATTTCTAGTGGTTTATATGTATTTTCTACCCATCATCTTCTGTGGAAGGCGTGACTTGTGCACATTTTGGAAGATTTGTTTCCCTAAATCAATGATACTTACACTAAAGGTTTTTTTCATGTTTGTGGAGTCTTTTTTAGATTTTAAATTTTTTTTTTTTACTGGAATAATACAAAATTTTATAATATTATATAAATAACAGAAATGTATTTTAGATTTAAGTGCTATTTGGAACTGGGACCTTAAGAAATTCAGATTTGGAACAGGTCTGAACTGCAACTGATTCTTTGCTCACTGTAGCCTCCTGGGCCTACCTTAGATTAAATTGTTTTCTGAGGAACCAGAGAACTGTTGGTATATAGCTCTGCTGTTTGAGAAGGATCACTAACTCTGCATCAGTCCTGGCCATTTGTTTGTTCTTTCATTAAAAATGATGCACCTCTCCCCATAAAACAGTTTTGGAGGTGACCTGAACTTCCGTTTGAGGTCTCTCTGAAAGGATTGCACACTAGTTAAAATTGATATTAAATGTCATAGTATGATTTTATCAGAGCCCCTGAAAGCCAGTTTGGCTTTGTTTCTACTCATCAAAAGTATGAATCACTAACTTTATTACAAGGTGAGTGGGCTATGGGCCATCTTTCTTGCCTTTATTCAGAAGCTCTTGAAAGTTGTAAAAAATGCAGCATACACTGTCCTATTGTTTTAGCCATAGAATTAGTTCCTGTTTAGAGAAGAAAACAGTGCAATTACCATGTGTATTGACAGCTGGGAAAGAATTGACATTCAGTGCAGCTGACTTTAACAGAGGTATTGAATTTATGTTGGCAACAAAGGCTCACCTGAACCTATAGTTAAGCCTAAGTATTTGAATTTTTATGTGAGTGTAATTTCGGATTCTAATGGGAAGGCATACTTCAAAAGTAAAAGTAAAAATGTTTAATAGAGTTTTGGACCTCATAGCATAAAGAATTTAATGACTTTTCATTAAAAAGTAGCCCTTTTCCTGAGAGATTTAAGGCCCAGAGGTCCACATTACACAACTTATGAAAATATATGAAATTGTTACAACATCCTATACAGTAAGCTCCGATTTAAGTTTTTTTAAAAAAACTCTTCATCTTTGAAACTACCTTTAGATAATTTCTTTTTAATTTTTTTCATTTCAGTTATGAAATAAGGTCTCTATATTGTCTAAATGACTCATGATTTTTGAAATATTTAAAAAGTCACAGAAATCTCTCTGAAATAAAATATAAGAAGAATGGATCCTGTTTTCTCACCACAACAAGCAAAATCTCATGTTTTAAATTCAGAACTGGCATCTAATTGATCATCCATGTATTTTGTCAGGGAGAATACAATGGGTGAAGTTGTCAAAGAAAGGAGTACATTCTTGACAAGGCTTAGAGTTCCAACCTGAGCCACACAATTACATGGGAACAAAATCATCTGCTGAGACTCAAAATGTGCAGAGAAGTACCAATAAGGAAGAAATTCCAATAAAGGAAGAAAAGGAGAGTTTATGGGCAAATCAGCAACTCCCAGCACGCTCAGAGATGTCCCCTAGGAGGTTTTTAGTGCTTCCTCCAATGCCCATCTTGGAAGCCACTGCCTGTGTTGGGAGGGCAGCAGATGACAGCGATGTACACAATGTAAGTCCACCCCTACACAGGTAAGCACTTAAGCCCTTAAGCATTTAAGCACTTAAATACTTAATGTGCTCCTGGAAATTACAATATATAAATATCTGCAACTGCTACTTAATTCAAAAGCAGTATAGTTAATTTATATAGAGTCATGCACATTTAAAAATGTAAAGATGAAAACCCACCATATTCTGGGACCTGGCCTGTTCCACGTTTCAACAACAGTCGCACTCTCCTGCCACCAGACTTGATTAGCTCTATTGCTCTGGCATGTGTCATGTCCCTTGTGCTTTCTCCATTGATTTCAATTATTTGATCTCCTACCTGTCAGGCAAGAAGAATATTGAGTCAGACAGAATTGCAGTAAAATGAGTGTTTCAGGAAGAGACATATTCAATGGATCACAGGTTACTTGAATGACAGACAGACACATCAAGGTAAATTTGTTCCTGTCTATCTGAGGAATATTACTGGCAGATCAAATAACCTCCAAAGTGGATTCTGAACATGGTATATCAAATGCTGCTAGTCTTCTGCTGAAATCAGTGTAATGCCTTTGGAACTTGCTCACATCTTCTGCATATAAGAGGCTTTGTTGAATTGCCTGACATGGTGGAATCACCGGAACTTTATCTGTGCTACTCTGTTACACGCAGTGTTGCGTGAGCCTGAGAAGAACTTCGCTGCACTTGCTGTTTTCACAGAGAAAAGAGAGGTTCAAAGCACAAATAGAAACTTCCATCATCTGAATTTCCAAACCTCGGTAGTAAATTTTCATACCAAATTAAGAGTCGCTATGAAGCACCTATTAAACAAAGAAAGGTTAGTGCTATGACACAGGACAAGCAGGTTTGCTGGAGTTCAAAGAGCATACTTTGAACTATTTACCACAGGAGCTTTCTGCTGGGAGTAAGCACAGCCCGTGGCTGAACTGTCTAGTTAGAGCAGCTGAACTCCAGGGTTCTGATTATGGATTTCTGCCACTCATCTCCTGGCCAGATTTCCAGTTAGAGCCAGCTTCATTATTATTTTTCTGCTCTATTTCTACAGCAGTTAAATGTGGCACTGATGTCTGCACATCCCATCCACCCCAACTTCCTTGGCTTTGACTCCAGCCTGCATGTTTTGGTTTTGGCTGGCTTTCCATGCTGGAAAGCTTCTCCTTCATCAGGGGAGCAGTTGCTTTCTGCTGTGCCTGGTCAGCGCAGCTGAGGGCAATGGAGGGAGCAGCACTGCACAGCTGCTGTGATGCCCCTTTGTGAGAGCCTTCAAGAAGCAACACAGTGAGGTGACACCTGAGCCTGGTGTTAGCAGCACCACAGCCTTTGGAATTTGTGTCTTGCAGAAGCCTCCTAGCCCCCTTGGAAGGGCAACCTTAGTGGAACCCAGAAGGAGGGATGATCTCCTGGTGCTGGTAGTGGTGCAGGTCCAGGTGATGGGCAGCCAAGAGTAGGGCATGAGGCTCTCAGGTGAGTGGGTCAGCACACTCATTTGTCAGTGCCAGAGGAACACATTTGTTCAGCAGGATCTTACCTGCCTCACTCTTCACCTACAGCTTCCTCACAGGGTGTTTTCACCACACTAAAACAATGCCTACACATCCTAGAGAGGAAATGATACAGACTTCAAGGTCTTTCTTTCCCTCTTACAAGACTGTCTCAACAAAACCAGCTCTTAGCTGGCCTTGGACACTGAAATATCTTCTATTTTGTATGTTTTCTTTGCTGCAATTGTACTTCTGTCAGCTCAAAGTGTAATCCTTCAGAGGTTTTCCTTCTTGCCTGAGTTTGAAATATAGTATTTACCAAATAAATGTGCACAATATGAAATGTCAACACAACTCCTAGCATCAAAAAAAAAAAAATCTGGAAAGGTTGTCAAGAAGCTGTCTAGGTCCTTACTTTTAGAAGGACTTAGAAGTTACCGAATCCTTTTGCTCAGAAAGAATGCTAATAGAAGTACTATGGCAGTGTTTCTCAGTAGGAATGAATATAATTCATATTTGTCAATAGGCTGCATTGTCCCAGGATCCTGTATGCAATCTATGCTGATACTTTGTGTAACTGAAAAGCCATTGATCCAAATAATCCCTATTAGCTTTGCTATTACACTTTGTAATTGCTGCAGTATTAAGAGTGGGGGAAAAAAATCAGAATTATTTTGTGCAGGATAATTTTTGCAGTGCAAATTTCTTCCTCAGCTGATTTTCTCTCTTATGAAGAATGCATTTGGTTGTACCATGCAGTGCAAAATTTAAACTATTTCTGATAGCCTTCAGGCCACACTGACACACAACACAGGTGCTCTCTGGATCGTGGTGAGATCTCCCCCAGGTCTGGCCATACACGGCTCTCTGCATCCCCCAGACTTTTGGACAATGCAGCTGGCTCACACACTTGGAGCAAAAAGAGAAAATCTGTGTTACAACTCCTGTAACACAGACAGAAGATGCATTTGTAGCATCCCCATAGGGATATTAATCAGGCCAAATACATAAAAAATTCAATGATTTTGGAAAAACCTGTTTCTAAATGCCAGTTTTTCTTTTTGTGGTACATTGCCTGGGTAGACTATATTTTGCAGAAGGTATTTAAAATGTTCTTGTTAGCATGTCTTGAGAGAAGTGCTAGATTAGACCAAATGAAATAGGTGTTTTTAACACTCCTTGATGAATAGCTTTAAAAATTAGTACTGAAAGCTGCATAAAGAATGTACAGTCCTTCAAATAAAATCCTCTGCACTCCAGAACAGACAGACAGAAAGATTTTAATACAGTTTAATATGTAAAAAGGTTAAGTTAATGTCACATTTTTCCCTTGCTGTTTGCCTTCTGTTTTCACTGGTCAATATGCAGGAACTATCTTGTATTAAAGTAACCTTTTCTGTATTTCCGTGAATTCACATTTTTTTTTCTCTGTAGGCAGCACGTAGCTCATTTGATATTTTCTTTCATTATAAAATATTGTAGTTGATTTGATATTTCATTTTCTTATAAAATATTATGTGCAAATAACTTGAGAAAGTTTTAAAAAAAGGCTAGCATCTTGGTTATGTGACTGAAGGAGGGGAGAGTAACAAGTTTGCAAAAATTAGGTGCTCTGAAATCTACATCAGACAGGGTGAAACCAGAGGTATAATGCATAGTTACAGAAGCAGTGGGTTAATTGTGTTCCTTGCTTTTGTGTCTTGAGGCTGACTGATGTACAGCTGAATTATACTGCCTTTGCAGCATAAGCCTATCTCTGATTAGATGAGAAAAAAGACAAGGAAAAGTTGTTAATACTCCTACCTCAAGAAAAGCTTCAATTAGACTTTGCACTCATATCTGGAAATTCATAGAAAAGAGAAAACCTTGGCTGAGGAGTGGTTCCCCGTGTGTCAGCAAGGTAGAATTCTTGGTTTTTTCCTTCAGTTAAATCTTGAAAACCTTTCTTTCCCTCCATGATGTAGATTTTCTTATGGTTGATATGGGACAAAACCATGCTGTATGTTTTCTCTTTGTCCAGGCATTCAAATATGCTTTCTCTCTCAACTTTTCTATTGTGGAATAATTTTTTAGATTTGTGGGGCTATTTCTATCTTTTCTAAATCCAGTGATTTTTAAAGAGTGTCTCACATATATGCACATATTGAAGATACACCAAGGTGAGGCCAGAGGTAATTGCAAGCATAAAATCTGTGTCTGTTACATGAAATCCTGATTTCTCTTTTTAGGATCAAAAGATGATTCCTGCAGTTTATGCCACACAGAATTTCTCTACACTTCTCTTCTGGATCCTTCCATGTCTGTTCACAGTGTCTAAACTGAAGATATTATGAAGGTATAACAGATCAAAATGATAACATTTTTTTCTACATTTACTAATAATGTTCACAGAACAAATTCCTTGTCTTTTTGTAACACATCAGATTTGCAGCCTGTGGTCAGTTTGGATTCTGAGCAGTTACCTCACATTTATCATCGTGCATCTGATTTCTCTGCCCTAAACTGAGCACTGTGCACCTCTGTGACTTTTATCAGATTGACTGCTTTAGTACGAAATTTTTATTTTGAAACAGTCTGTTTCTCAAGGTCTTTTAAAAGTCCCTATGAATAGTGACACACTGGCATCAGCAAATTTTATTTTATTATTTATCAGTAGGTCTCCAATTATTAATGGAATATTGAACTGAGTTGGTTTCATTCCAGGCACCTCAGAACTAAATTTGTAATTACTATTAAGGAGCAAATCATTCAGAGCAGTCTTTGAGAGGAATTATTGTCAGTAACCATGTTAAAAGAGATTCCACCTCGGGCCTTAACCATTTAATGTGAATTTCATAGAAGGTAGTGTTGAAAGGTTAAAGGAAGATTGTACATTCTCCTCCTTCTTTTTCCACATAAAATAAGAATGAAAATCAGACATAAGAAAGAAAAATTAGTCTGGTGTGACAAGATTTGCTTTCCACAATTCACATGCCAGTGAACTTTCTCAACTTTTTGGTAACTTGTCACAGATTATTTCTGAGCACAAAAATTAAAGGAAATTTTCTTTATTTGTCTTTAAAAATGGGGTATATGTTTTACTTTCTTTGGTCTAACCTTCTTGTCCTCCATGAATTCTTAGACATAATTACTAATAATCTATAAATTGACTTAATTTAGTAATATAGCATACATGAACATCAACAAGTTCTGCAAACTTGAATCTAAGTATGCTTTAAGCAGTTTTCTCCTTATTCTGATTTATACTGATTTCTTTGTTTATGTTTTTGGGAGCATCTCAATGGAGACTGATAAAAGGAAAATCCTGAATATTTCAGCCATCTCATCAGGCAGTAGATCTCTTTTTTCCCAGTTCTTCATGCTCCTTTAAACATGTGAAACAGCTGGATGTACACTTTCCCATCCCAACAGGCAAGCTCTGCATGTGGGACACTCCCCAGCTGGCATCAGCTCTGGTTTTTAACCTTCCTGGTGGTCTTCAGCAAAGATTACAAAGCAGGAATGATTTACCTCTATGTCCTCCAGGTGTTTTCAGCAGCTTGAGGGTGAAGCATGTTGGCAAGACAGCCTGGGACACTTGCCTGGCTGCTGCTCAAGCTGTATTTATTCTGAAGAAACCAGTTTTTTGCAGCTATGAATCTGGAAATTTTATACACATTGCTTTTGCATTGTGTTTCTTTCTTCCTGAAGAACGTGGCCACTGCTGGGTTTCCCTGCTGTTTGGGAAGAATACCTACTGAAACACACCAGTTCTCCTCCTCACCCAATGCCACTTGGTAAGCAGAACACTCCTCTATTATATTCTTATGATGTGCAAGCACAAAGTAAACACTGAATG